ACTGGATAGGATGGGAGCTAAGTACAACCCAACGATGGACAAGTATGTTTTAGGCGACTCAAATGTTACAATTAACTGTCATGAATTGAAAACACACTGTGAAAGGGTCAAAGTTCTCAGATGAAAACAAGGACAGCTCCCAGACCGGACAATGCCGAGTAGCAACCTGTCAATCACTGTGTAGGCCCGCCCTAAAGCATACTCTGCTTTATGGTCTATTTGACTCTAAATGGACCATAATGTACTAAATGAACATCATGCTGTATTGAAGAAGACTTGAAACTAGAGATTGAGACCATAAACTCATGTTTACAATGTTTACTGAGGTAATAAATCAAGAGAGAAGTAGAGTCATAGACTTCTTCATTGAGAGCTGGGAGTATATTGGCCCGAGCTACACAACAAAAATACTTATTTCATGTAGCAAACATAATTATTTTACCTTAAAAACATACTTAGTTTAAACCAAACCATGATCTTTTCCTAAACCTAACCAATTAGTTTGGTTGCCGCGCGGAAAAAAATCTTTTCGTAGGTTATCAACCGTTGGAGGATATGTTGACAAAAGTAATAATTACTACTTTTCAGGTTTTATCACTTGAGCGTAAAAAGTTTGTTGTTTTTGGGCATTTACTTTATCAATGCCTTCTCATCCAACGGTAGTCCTCCTCACAGTGGTTTACTAGATCAGTTCTCAGAAGGTTAGTGATGAAGTTTCTCTCTGCAGTGCTGACATTCAAACACACTTGGTGCACTGTAAAAGACCTGCACTACGAGTTTGGTAGTGAGTGTGTGTGTAGAGAGGCTGACACGTCGGCTGAACAAAGCAGCAGTGATACAGAGAGGAGGAGGAGGAGAAGAGTTCGTCCCTCCCAGCTTATCTGCGCTGCACCTGCTGCGGTTGCCAGGTTGCAGGGAGGTTCACAAACAGGCCAGAGTTTCGAGTGATTTTTAAGCAGAGGAGGTGGAGTGGATTTGGAGGGAGCACAGTGGAAATAAATCCCGTTGCCATGTCAGGCTCTTCACGTGTGAAGTCCTTCGGTTTGATGCAGGGCACGAGTTGCCAGGTTGGAGAGAGTTTTAAACTGGGGCAGGGTAGGTCTGTGGAGGCAGATCATGACAGGATGCTTAACAGGTACGAAGATTAATGTAGAATGGGGATGGCTGCCACATTGGTCTCATTTTTTTAAGGGGAGTGAAGTGGACAGCGTCATTTTGGAGGCTCAGTTGCTGTGTAGCGTGTGTGAAGCATACTGTGCCCTGATAAGGTTGCCAGTTTGGAATGTTAATCCAGTGAAAAGGTTATGTTTAGAGCATGCCATACCAGCAAAAGTAGGTGGGCGCTTTTTGCGGAGGTAGATATTAGTCGCCAGGTTGGAGTGCTTATACACAGCTGGTGTTGAGAGCCAGTGATGGCTGGGTTGCCAGGTTTGAAGGTAATCAGAGTTTTTAAGGCTCAAGCCCTTGCAGGAGAGAAGGAATTGTGGATGGTAGGTTTTGCTGAGTTGAAGGCTTGATTGATCAAGACGGGGAAGTGTTTGGTTTTTTGAGTGAATTTATTTGTTGTTTTTATTTTATAACACCATGAAAAATGTCAACATGTTTGGAGAAGTGATGGAAGCTTCACAATCAGTCAAAATGGTTAACGTTAGGAGAAAAGCTGATTTTTGTGCATTGAAGATGGACGCTGTGCTGCCAGATTTTAATATATAGGTAAGAATTGATTTCCGGGGCAGAGCTACTTTTAGCTTGTATGAAGGACAAAATGTACTCATATTCTTTTTTTCCATTTTTTCCCCCTCAGTGCGGCATGTACATGCGGTCGCTCTGTTTCCTGTCCTGGTCGCATGACTTCTCCTCCTCCAGAGACTTATTATAATGAGCTCCACTTCCTCGCGTCTTGTGGAAATACAGTAAGCGGAGATGTGCCCACAGTGTATTTTTGAAAGTTCGCCTTGTCGGCTCATAAGGGCCACAGCAGGGAGGAAAACCAGGTCACCTTTGTCGAGAGTTTGTGACTTCATGATGTCCATTGTCTCCAACCATCCAAAAAAGATCTGTCAGTGACATTTTGTTAATAGAAGAGTGATGCACCGGGGTTTAAATAAATACACATTTGGCCTGGTAATTAATGCTACTGTCTGTCAGAGGCAGATTGCACAATCATGTTAATCATTTATCCATAGATCTGTCATGTCCTTTGGTCCCTCGATCTTTTTCATTTATCCCCTTCTGTCTTTGGGTTTTTGTGTCTTTTACAATCCTTTCTGTAAGTACAGCAGCTCTCATGTCCATCTCAGGCAAAGTACAGTTATCTGGTGAAGGACCAGTGTAGAGAGGGCCTCTCTGGGTGTCACACTGAATTGATATGGTTTTATAGGAGGAAACATGAAAAGCCTGTGGGATGATGTACTTCTGTTGGCCTTGCCAACACCATTTGAAGAAATATTAAAGATCGTTGAGTGAGGGGTTGCATGATTGGAGCAGGGTCACCAGGTTGAACATATGTTATTTCAAGAACCAGCATCAAGGAACCAATTTGTCTTGAGACGGACACGAAAGGCAGGTTTCAGGGTCGCAGAGCAAAGTCGCCAGTTTGGATTGCTGGACATTGCTTCATCTTCGGGTGAATACGAGGCGGGATCGGACTGACAGGAGGGTTATTCACGTGTTCCAGGGTTTGATGATTCAGCAACTGGGAGAAAGTTCATGGAGATGACACGTTTTGTCACGTCGTCGTGTTGTAAAGCCTCACTGGATTCCTCCCATTGCTCATCACAGTGTCTTAATTGTTTTGGGAGTATTGTTAATTATGTTTGACAACCCTTCCAATAATGGCTGTAATTGAATTAAATGTAAGGAGACAGAAAAAAAGAGAGCGACACTGGCGTGTGCGTGTGCGTGTGTGTGTGTGTGTGTGTGTGTGCATGCTCTAATAAAAGGCTGTGCTCATATAGTGTTGGGGAAGACAGGAATATTGGTTTGAAGCAGGTTGAGACTCATCCTGTGTTCCAGTCAACTCGGAGGTCAGAATTTTCCCAATGGAGACTTAAATCCGCCAAGCGTTACAAGTGCACGATGCCAACTTTATAACACAAAAAAACCAGACTGACCCAGACAAACAAAAGATATTTCTTTGGCAAGTCCACACACAATTTATCCCCCAGAAGAGCAGGCTCCACCTTTTTGTTTGCCATTTTTAATGCTTTCCCTAATAACTTCTGTGCAGAGAAGATATCTTTCATAGACTGTTTACCGTAACCAGCTACTAACACCGGCGACATATTTTGTAATTTACACACTGAACAGGTTTAACTATATGATAGTACGTATTATTGTAATTAAATACAGGCAAATATAGTTTGTGTTGCCTTTTAGTTGATGGTTTACATTTACCTGATGGATTTGCCCAAAGTTTACCAGAAGGAACGCCGACTTTGGGCGGCATTCCAATGTTCCAATAGGAGACCGGCACATTTCCATCAACAATCTCTGAAAGTCATCTTCTCTGGACAAACATTATTCTAAAAAATGTAAAAAAATCTGTTTGTCATGGTCGGCTATGATTTTTTGTTCCTGTTTGGCTTCGTGCACATGGAACACCATGAGATATGAAGTTGGATATTTCAACTCGGCAAACTTTGGGCAAGTTCACAATGCAGTTTGATGGCATCTTTCATTTCTTTGCCGTCCTGATGAATGCCCACATTTTGAACAGCACACCCACAGTTTAATTCAGGCCGAGGAGTGTGACGTTACTTTTTATATTTGATATAAGTAGAATACCATTTCTAGGATCATACCTAATAAAGATGTTGTTGGGAATAACATAGCCTCAAAAAGGGGGCACCATTATGTTGGGAATAACATAGCCTGACATGGGTTATCAGCAATATGTTGGGAACGGAAAGGAGCGTGTTTGGGTTATCAGCATCTAAGAAACTAAATTCTTAACATCAATAGAATTATTAATGTCAGTAACAATTATTAATGATTATTAATAATGGGGCACCACCCTGCGAACAGGGACCAATAACCAAACGATAAAACTAAGTCTCATAATTAGTGTTCACTCGCAATGTCAATAGTCTGAGTACTATTACACATTCAGAGTGAAAGTGAAGGTTGAAAGTGAAGCAATTTCAGGGACCGCCAGTGTCGGTGATCATAAAGCATACACCACGTTATAAAAATGAACAGTACTTTAAGCACACAAACAAGATAAAATAAACACAAATTAACTCTCTCTAACTCTGCCCAGACTGTAGTTCGCCTTACGGTACGATGCAATCGTGTTGGTTGAGGGGGGGGTTCTTCTGAGGGGTTCTTCTGAGCTTCCGTGGGCTCGGGCAGCGCGGCTGCGGGCCGCGGGAGGTGTTCTCTCGGTAGGAGAGAATCGCTGTCGTCTGGATAAGGGCTTTTCGCGTCCTTATGGCCGGAGCAAACGAGGCGCTTGGTGGAGAGTGGACGTTCTCTCTCTCTCTCTCTCTCTGAAGAAGTCTTGCTTCTTCACTTCTGCAGGACTAAAAAGGGGTTCGCTTCGTGGATACGAACAAAGATAAAATAGACAGTTTGGTGGATTCGGCCAGCGAATATAAACTGTTAAACCTAGGATTTGGTTGAAAAGGGAAACAACGTTGGTGTGCTCCCTAGCTCGACGGAGGTCGAAGGGAAAAGCATTGAGGTGGGGGTTGCAGGTAGTTTTGTAGAACAGTGGCTGAACCACAGGGGTCCTGGGGTGTCTTGGCTCTCGGCCAATTAGATTGCAGCGCTGCTTTCAGGTACCTTCAGGAATGCATAGTTTTTGGGGGAGCAAGATCGTCTTACCGGAGGTCCCGCCTCGGCATCCCTGCTCTCGTCCAATGAGAGCAGTGTGGCATTCGGGGAGGAAACTCACACCCTAATGTGAATTTCTTCAAAGTTGGGGGGTTTGGTGCTCATCAAACTACAATCAGGATGAAACCTTTGCTTGCAAAAGGCAAGGCCTGACTCTCTCTCTTTGTTCCACAGCACATGTCGAAGCCATATAGTCAGATCCCAACAATGTCAACACACAAAGACATGTCTTTTGCATAATTTGTCCCTACTAGATTAAATCCGGACCTGTTTCTTTTCAATGATTTTGTATGAATCACACCACTTCTTCTTATTCTTCTTCTTCACTTTAGACTGACAGAACTAAGTAGCTGTCCATGTAAACATGTCAGCCTTGGTAACACAACTGAAGCCTCACAAGCTGTTTACGTGACACCAAACAGAGAGTGACGTTGGCGTCTGTGTTCCATTTGAAAAAGATGAAAAATAATAAATAGATCCAAATGATTTTGCTTATCAACACAGTTTCAAGTTGCCAGGTTTGGAAATACTTTGAGCCACTAGAGAAAGCAGTGATATTAGAGAAATGTGAATATTTGGCTGCACACAGGCGAGCAAGAAAGAGTTATGTTGCCAGATTGGAGGAGGGCTGCCAGCCTGCTGTGTACAGTTATACACTTTGGGTATTGATGTTACCGCTAGAAGGAGGTTATTTGATGCATGATGGCGGAGGTAAGGTTTCATTGACGCAGCGTGAATTCGCCAGGTCGGAGAAACAGATGGAGCAATCAGGTGGAGTGAGGGGAACATAAAGCGGGTGACTTGATTTTCAAGAGGGCAGAGAGAGTTACGGTTGCTGGGTCGAGGCGAGTTTGGTGAGCTGAAGTAAAAACATCATTCTGTTGCCACTTCAAATACTATCAGCTGCAGAAGGGGGTTATTTCCTTCAGGAGGCCCGATGCCAGAAGGCATTCACAGAGTGGGGAGTTGGTTAGATTGTTGTAAGTTTGACCTCAGAGATATTTGCCATCAAATATTTGAGAAAAATGGATAACAAGGAACAGAAAAGGGGTTATTTGGAGCATTTTGCCAGGTTAGATTATTATCAGTTTGCACAAAAAGACATATAGACAAAAGAGGAAGACACAAACAGACAGGGAGCGGAGTGTCTGTTTTGCCACTTCAGGTTCTGTTAAATTCAGAGGAGGGTTACTGGGCATCAGCACTGTAAAGTTGCCCAGATGGATCTGTGTAGAGGCTCAGAAATGGAATAAAAAAGTGATATGAAAATCCCTATCTACGATTGCTTTTTCTATGTTGCCAAGTTACAAGTTTACTAGTAGACTTGGAAAGCCAAGTGTGTTCCATCCGCAGCTAGAGAGAGACAGAAGGTTAACTGCCACAATTCAAAATCTAGAATGAGCTTGGAAAAAAATCATTCATCTGATTGAACATATGGTCACTGGAGCCCGACAGACACTGGATTTTTGAGGCCTGCATATTGACATTTAGTTTAATAAAAATATTTTCTGCATGTATCCATAACATTAACATTTTTCATTGGACTTTAGCATGTTCGGTTCCTGTAACTCTTTAGCAGACACTTCCAGGTTAGCTTTATAAGCTCAAAAGAACCATCAAGACCATTGAAAGGTGCTCTTTGTGATTAGGACAGTCAGACCATTTCACTGATTTATTTAGATTTCACTTCTCATTTCACTCTAAAATGATTCCGAGTATCACAAATAGTATTCCAGTCTTTACAGATTAATGCTGTACACCGTTCAAACACACAGAACATCACCTTCAATTTGAATGAAGATTTACAAAGATACCAAATATGTCCGGTTAAGAGTCTTGAGTTAAAATGTTTCAGTGTGAACATCAGAATAGAAGTGTTACTTTCTCACAGAGTGGAATACATTTATTTTACCCTTTGACCAACATGTACCGAGCGTGACTTTTCACGTTTTTGAATGAACTTGTCAGTGCTCTCTGTTGGACAAACTAATTCATGGAGACACTAAACATATCTGTGGCTCATCTGTATACTCTCATGTTACTCATCAACCAACATATGCACTGACCAGCTAAAAAGACCAATAATGAATGTCAGGCCGATGAGTTGATCTGTCCGTCACCTATTTATCTACCTGTATCCCTTTGTGATAACATGTGTGAGTGCATGTGCTAGATGAGCAGGATGAAAGATGTCAGTGTGTCTAAGGTTGTGGTTAAACTTCACTTTGCAACAGATTTCACTGGTTCAAAATAAAAGCTTTTAAATGACAAACTAACTCGGGACATTTGTTGTGAGAAATTTATAGGAAAATGTGTCAATCAACGAATTAGCTACTAGCTTTGTTAGCAGCTATTCTACAATAGAGCAAGTCTACTACTACTGCTTGGAGGAAGAGTAAGCAGCGAAAGTGACAGAACACTTTTATTGTGAAGATTTTATAGGAAATGAAATGAAATTAAATTATCCACCTTTTACAGCCGCTCCTTCGACCACGAAATATATCCAGTCATTATCCGATCAGGCAGGTCGGTGTGGAGACACAGCTGAGTTACAATTTGGTGAATCCAATCCCAAAAGTTACATCGTGTAACCATGTCGTGAGACTCAACTGAAGCCGAAAGTTTCTTCACGACGTTCAATATGAGGTGTTACAAAGTTCCCCATGTGGATCTTATTCCTTTACATCCCATTTAATATTTCGGGCATTAAACAATTGTTGCGTAAGTTAGTATGAACTATAATTTAACTACTTTCAGAATTTGGAGCAGCTACTGGAAGCAAGTGTAGTGATCAGAGACTGTGTGTTCACTGTGAGAAGAGCTCCGTAGTGGAAATGAAAGTCAGCACCAGCAGAAGGCAATTTCCGTTTCCATTGTAGTTTATAAAATGTCTGCCTGAGCCAAAGCTCTGCATGCTCAACACCTCAACACTTTGAAACAGAAAAGACTGCCGCTTCACACGAGACACCTCCCATCCTTCATATCTGATAATGTGTGGCTTCCAACCAAGAAGGCTGGACAACGGCCAGAAGAAGCAGCTTCCATCAGGAGCAGATCCATGGCTGCCGCAGTGGGGAAACTTTCGCATCACTGACTTTTGCAAGTGGACAAACCCTGCTGCCATATCCCATTTAGAAATGTAAAAACATTACCTGTTGCATTTTATCACAGTCAGACAAATAGCCGAATGCATTGGGAAAACATTTAGAAGTAAATGGAAAGTAAAAAATGAGCTAATTTCCACAATGCATTAAAGCTATCACCAGCAAGACAAAGCTTCCTGTCATATCTGTGGTTTCTGAACCTCTTCTTCGATTGGTTTCTTACCGTTCTGTCTATGTGCTGAAGATCAGCAAAGTACTGATGCCAAAATCTGACACTTCCCACTGAAGTTTCTGATAGCTGAAACTTTTTCTTTCTTGCTTTCACACTCTGTAGTAGCTGCAGGAAATATCTTGATGTGACAGTGCGCTTGCTGCTTCTGGCAAAGTAGCCACGGGAAACAGAAAAAAAATCCTCACAACTGTGCAGACTCAGGAATGCAAATTACAAAGCCGATTGCTGTTTTTATTGGAGTTTTAGAGCGGGTATTTTCTTTAATGGCCGCAGAGTCTCGAGGGAGCAGCAGAAAATGGGGACAGTGGACAAAGCAGAATGTGGAGCCTAGTTCAGAGTTGCCAAGCTGGCCTGATTTGAGTCGGGACAGCAGAAGGAGGACTGCCAGCATCATTCTGCGGAAGTGCTGACAGTTCCCAACCAGAAAATGTGCTTAGAAACCCAGACAATTTCCCGCAGTCACCTATTTAGTCTTTTCCAATTCAGTCTCAATGGATCTTTTTATAACTGTGGCAACACAGTTTAGGAAGTGCCAAACTCATCCCCCGCATGTCTCTGTGGGAGACTGAATGTTGAGTCTCTCAGTGGGGATGAATGAAGGCTGGACTCACACTGGCATTTGGTGATGTTGAGGCAAAGTAGAAAAAGTCGAGGCGAGTGAGAGGGACACACCATCTGTCGGTGATTGTAAAACTCCCAAAGGTTTCCAGCTTGTCTCTGTTGGCTCCTCAGTGTTTTTACCATCAGAGGTAACAGTCATGTAGAGCCTCGACAGCCGTCAGACAAGGTCAACTTTTTACCTGCAAATTGTGTGCAATCAGCAGGGAAGTGCGACCGGCGAGGCTGCCGGGTGTCGCCAGCACCTCCAGCAGTGCACCGCTGGAGGGTGAACCAGTCGGCCCTGTCAATTCTAATACAGTCTGCTGCTCACTTTTCACATGAAACAAAAACCTCTGATTGACACGATTCGTTGTAATAGGCTCAACATACTGTTATTAGGGAACTTTTGGGGGCATCAATATTATTTATATGTAAAACTGGGTATCGGAACTTAATGCCTTTAAGGGATCGGCCGAAATAAGCCAGTACCAGCTTCTCAAGTGATAGGTAGCTGCAATCAATACTTCTTGTGCTCACATCTAGAAAATAAATGACCATCTGAATAGTTTTCCTTGCAGACAATCACCACAAGCGCTCTCCGATGCGACTTGTGATTGGCCGACTACCGCAATAGTTACACCGCATGCAGCTGGGAATGCCTGCCTGCACACCGCTCTGGACACAGAGATGTTTGTGCCGGTGACTAGCAAGTAATGGTGCTAACAGCGCTAACAAGGGCAACAGTGCTTACAGAGCCTAGGGGGTGGGCCTTATGCTTCCCCCGGCTACACTGTGGGTCAGGGGACGACATTATCAGCTGTATGAGCGCTCTGCAGTGCGGCGAATGCAGTAGTCTGTTGGTATCGATATCACCTAAACAGTACTGGCATCGTAATTTATTGACCCAGCTCTATTTAAATGTTACTTTTACCTTTGGTGATCAACTGGGCTGCATGTCATTGATCTTCACTCACACGGACTGATTGTTCATGACATATCTGTCTTTCTGTCAGTTTACCAACAATGACTGACAATTCTTTGTGAAGGAGCACTGGACAAAGTCACAGATCAAAGGCAATTATTTGTTTACGTTTATAAAATTCCGAATGCAATCCAGAATCTTATTACCAAACTAGTACTTTCGCCTCTATTGTGAAATGGTACAAATTTGTCCTTATGTTGGATTTATTTAAAATATTTTCTGTTAAACCATCTAACAGAGAAAAGAGATCTGAACCCATGATCACCTGTGCTTATCTCAGCTCATCAATCTGTATCTAAAACTAAAACATTATCAGACTTTGGTTCCTCTCTGATTAAACTTCCTCTTAGAAAATCAGAAACAAATCAACAATTTCACAGCGGCATTGACTGGTAACAGATGTCTTCCATCTGTGCGGATAATTTCCAAGAACAAAACTGAAAGTAGATTTGCAAACCAGAGAGCAAACTATCTGTGTTCATGCGACCTTATGTCCCCTGATCTTTCATGGCATGCCTCCAATTACCGCTAAAAACAATAATTTCATTAATCAAGCTGTTGGAACAACTGGCAGTTAACACAGTGACCATTTAGATAATTGATTAATTTTCTTTTTTTTAGCTGAAGCTAATTAACATAACTTGAGGCTATAATTAAGCTTTTTTGCTGTTGTCTGGTTGACATTCCCATGTTTTATACTCTACCAACTCTGGTGACTCTTCCACAGAGAGCCCCTCACTGCGCCACGTCAAATTATCCCCAGTTATGCTTATCAAATTAAGTCATGGTTTTGCTCTGGGATCTCCAGTATTTTCGGCAAGTAGCTGGTGAAAAAATAAGGTGTGAAATTAAATAAGACACTGTTGTCCTGACTGCATGATTTAGATTAGTCATTTAGGAGTTTTCAGTAACCTCTACTTGTTACTTGTAAATGTTGTGAGCTAAAGTTAATTAGATTTAATAAGCAGATTCAATACTGGATTCAGATTTAATAAAAAGCTATGAAACTTCAGGCCGACCCCCAAAGAGCGGGAGGCAGGTTTGAATCAGTCAGCATCCATAGTGTTGATAAAATAACTGAGTGTTGCTCCTTAGCTTGCACAGCACAGAGCAAAGTACCCTTCCACCCCACTTTGTTTGATTTAAAGTGGGTAGAAGGTGTAGACATTAGCCTTTAAATAATGACATTATGTAGTGGTACTCCTGTCTGGTCTCACTGCTGTGGTCTGTCAGGCCGGTTTATCAAAGAACACTCACTTGTATTTCTCTCAGGATCTGCTTTTCAGTAAAACATCAGTTGTGAGCTGCTGAAGTTTAATGGCTGCAGCTTGACACTGATTGATGAATGGGCAGCGGCTGCTAAACTCTGAGCTCTGTCACTCTGTCACTGATACGCCACAGAGAGGAATGGTGCCTCTTTTTTACCCACAATGCTTTCTTTCTTTAAGTCAGTCTAATTTTCTTTCTGTCTTTCTTCTTTTATCTCAGTCTGTCCCTGTCCTCTCTTCTCTTCCCAGCGACGGACATTTTTTGCTCATTTAAGGAATGAGAGGCCGCTCTGCCGTCCTCTCACTGCATCTGTCCACTCGTCTTCGTCCCTTCCTTCTCCCCCTCTCTGTCCTCTTAACCTCTCCTCACCGCTCATCCATTTCTCTCGGTCTCTCTGTGCAGGGAATCTTGGCAGACTTTGACAGACGGCTGACTGAGCCAATGACATACTTCGAGGACTTTTAAAGCAGGGTCCTCTGGTCAAACCTGCATGGGCGTGAGCACGACGAGTATGTGCACGTGAACCCGGATGAACGCCATCACCGTTTCGTGCCCCGTGAGAAGAGGACGGCCCCCTTCCCTGATAGAGAGGTAGGCTGCTGTTCATTTAGAGTCTACCGTAACGCTGCCAGTAGTTGTACGAATAGCTTTTGGTTTAGTTTAATATAACTTTGCATCTATTGTATAATCTAGTCATCTGAATCTTTGGTTCAAAGACATTAGGCTTCCTCTTCTGCTTCCTAATTTTGATTGGCTGAACCCGTTGGTGCCAAGTCAGGTGTGAATGGTTGATGTGACTGCCATAGCAGCAGTTATGTAAAGTGTGGATGTATCAGAACCAATCCATGTCCAGCATAGTTGTTACATACTGGTCTAAAAGGTCCACTGACTAGAGTAACTGGCAGAGAAAGATCTTTTTGGTGGCACATTGTTGTCTTTATACATCTTGTCTATTTCTGTTGAAGCACGGAATATACTTCTCTGTTTGGAGATGTTAGGGAATCACAATAATTACATACAAACTGTATCATCAGGGGTGACTGCGGTAGAGCAGGGTCGTCCTTCAATCAGTGGATTGGCGGTTTGATCCCCAGCTCCGCTAGTCCAAGTCGATGTGTCCTTGGGCAAGACACCTAACCCCAAATTGCTCCCACAGGCTGTTCCTGAATGGGTGTGAATGTTAGATAGTCCTGATGGGCAGGTGGCACCATGCATTGTAGGCCCATGTCATCAATGGGTGAATGACAGCGCTTTGAGTGGTCATAAGACTAGAAAAGCGCTGTACAAGTACAGTCCATTTACCATTTACCGTCATGTATCCAAAGTATTTTAGGATTTTTCTTGTGACGGGCCCAGTCTACATGATATCAGCTTGATTGTAGCCCGACCCGGCAGACGATAGGCGTCGGCTCCAATCGCAACAGAAGATATTTTCATCCCTTGTGGTGTTTCTTTGTAAACTACAACCAGAGATGCATCTGGGCAACTTATCCTCAAACAAGAGTTCTTATTATATCTTACAAGAGGTTACTCTTTACAAAATAAACTTCCGTCTTCACAGTAAACTACATAGTTAGGTTTAGGCAACAAAAGTATTTAGTAAGGGTTTGGAAAATATTGTATTTTTGGTTAAAATAACTACGGAAGTGGCGTTACTACATTATGCAAGTTACATGATTAATAAATCAACATTGACTTCTCATTTCAACGAACAGCGGCCTCTTGGCTGAAAGATCACTGTTTGTTGGACCAATCCACCTGCACTCCCACTCGCCCTGTGTGTGCTTTTGAGGTTGTTACACTTCCTGGTTCATGATTAGGTGGATAGCATACGAGATAATTTCATAGGGTATCTAAGATTTACAGCACTTAGTTTTTCCGAGGTTGGTGAGAACATCCCTGTCTAGACAGAAAGACTAGCATGTTCAAATTGTTTTTTTCCTTTCCGCGACGTCGCCCCGCGTGTCCGTCACTTTGACCAAAGTGAGCTCGGCGCCATCAGCCGCACACAACTGCATGATGGTGTAGGTGCTGCAAGTTGAACTGTGAAACAGCGGAAAGGTCACTTTCCTTCCGAACACAAGACAGCCGCCATCATACACACAGCCATTGTTGTTTTAAACTCTTGCTCCTGGAAGTGGTTTCCAAGCTCCTCCTTCCCAATGACATCACATGCATCGTGACAGATGAGCTTTGATTAGTCGGGGACCAACGTGTAGTCTGTCATGTCTTTTAACCGAGTCATGACCAGAGTTTGTGGCTCTATAATTGCGTAATCTGAAACAGTGACCATCGTACCAGACACAATATTGAGAAGTCTGATCCTGAGATAAGTGTCATTGTAGTCTAGATATCATTCAGCGTGCTGTCTTCTCTGCTTACTTTGCCATTGAGTGCTGTTCACATATTGGACATCTACTTGTATTTCTAGTCTTTGTCAGGTTTCCATGGTCTATGTGGAATGTATCTTAGGCATACAGAGATATTTGGCCTTTGGGTTGGATTCACTGGACTCACCAGTGCTGTACTAATAACTTGAGTCCATTGCGGAGGACAAATTCCCCCACAGGGATGAATAAGAGCTAATAATAAGAGTAACTGATCTTATTGGCTGTTGTAGGATTGTGACATTGCTGTTGTCAAATGTCCCCTCTCAACTTGGGTGGAACAGGTTTGATAGATTAAGGTTATATTTACATAGTTCGCTCTATTGTATTCTAAAAGTAATGATTTCAGTGTTTCCAGTCTTTTTAATTATTTTTTCAGCCCCTACAGCAGTTTGGTCATTTGCTTGGTGAATCACTTTCCTCTTTTATTTCTCTCCAGGAGAGAATCATTATAACTATGAAATAAACAGACACATAAAATGAATCTAAAGTAGTCATGCAGTGATGCTCAGTGTGTTAAGATGAATTGCCCTGTTTAAATTTCACTCAACAGCTCTGTGAGCTACTGTTACATTTTACCCACAAGGTAATATAAAAGTCAATGAAACACTGCTGACACTCCTGCTGTGTTTCTTACCTCCACGTCAAACATGATCAACTCCAGTCGGCCTCTGCCGCTGGGTATGAAAAAGAAAAGAAAATGAAGGAAAATCATCCTCAAAACAAGCATTATTCCCAGTTTGACGTTGCTGCTTTCTTGCAAGATAAATCATACATTTCGAATGAGTTCTCGGTTCGTGCCTCCGTAAAAAGCAGAAAATAAGATTTAAAAGGCGTATTTAAAGGTTAACAGCCAGAAATCTACAACAGGATTTGATGGGCTTCAGCGACCCGAGGGGGTAACTCGCTGACGACTTTTACACAAACTCATAATAGAAGAAGAAAACATTTGCAACAGCTCGCAATTAGAGAGAGTGTGTGTGTGTGTGTGTGCTTGTGTGTGAGACAGTGACTTAGGCTAATGCAGCCTTAATAGCCACATTAGTTTCTTGCTCCGACTAAATCGTTTGAAGAAACTCAGACTAGAAAATAGATCCATTAGGTAGCTCTAGATCTCATAACACACACACACACACACACACACACACACACTGAAAGGAGATCCTGAGACACAACAACCCTGCATGAAACCGACACACTTTGTTTTCTCCTTCTTTTTTCTCACAACATACACAACCCGCACACACGTGGACTCCCAAGTTGCCTCTATTTTGTTCATACAGAGACTACACAAACACAAAGAGAGTCGTGTCTCCTGCTGCTGGAACTCTGTGTCATCGAAGGCTTTTCTGTCAGAGCTAATTTGCCACTCCCGCATTGACCGTGGCGGTGACGGGCGTCTCCTAATGAGACTCGCAGTAATGGCAGGTGTGGGCCTCTGAATCCGAAATCACAGTATAATGAGATGAACAGCCCTAATGGTCACAAGCAGGGCAACAAGAAGTACAGACGCAGGATGAGGGCACCGATGATGAGGCTGGGACAAGAGGGGGAGCTGGCTGCCGCTCCTGTGTTTACTCCGAGTGGAGATTTCACACATTCCAGGATTAATCAACTGGTTGCTTGCATCAAATTTTTTACTATACATATATATATATTTTTTTTTTTTTAACGACAGTTGTAATCATTCGACAACAGGTTCCAATGGATTTGCACAAGCAGGTTCTCTGCCTGTGCAAATCCATTGGAACCAAGTACCGGGATCTTATTGACCCAGAGGAGCGTCTGACTGTCTGAGCTAAACTGTCATATAGCCCAAGCTACTGGTTTCCTTTTCCTTTTTCTCTCTGTTTAACAGTTACGCACTGTATATGTCTAGGGCTTTTATTGTGAAAGGAAAGAACAGAAGGAGTGGATGTGGTTGGTCTGCAAAGGAGTGATGAAGCTAGCCTCCTTGGCATTGTATACTATAGTTTACATTTTGAATATGTCTGTACTGCACAATGTGATTGCTTATTGCCTTTTTTTTCACTGTGCGAAATCTCAGTATGCCGTAAAATAGCGTGGTAATATATTTTTCAGAAAAGGTTTTTCTATTAGTGAAAGTACATGTGACCACAAGCAACAGCTCAAAAAATGTATTGAAGTGCAAAGTACTTGCATGAAAAAAAAACTGCCCCGGTGTGTAAATGGTTTGATGCCAAATGGTGCAATGATAAAACCTGTTGAACCATTACTATGTAGACATTATCAGTAGTGGAGCGAATTTTCTTTGAACACAAGCTTCAGTCCCACCAAATGACCTCCTAGCCTGTGCAGGTGGCTTCAGAAGGTTTCAGGGGTGAACTAGCTTTTAATGTGCACAGATTAGTGATTCGTCGCCCTTGAATCTTACATCCTCAAATGAATAATTCCTACAAACAGAACGACAGCAAACACGTTGAACAACGTCATCAGCGGCTTAATTAACATGTATTTATGGGATGTCAAAAGAAAACACAATGTCGGGTTTAACACAAAGAATTCAAAGTATATCCACATATCTCTCTCCAGATTCAAAACAGACCAGCATTCAACCCGAGCGGCTCATTTACATAAGATTGATGTTTACTGTGTTGTTCTGTTCCTGTCTGGTTGCATTAGGCTACACAGTTATATATGTGGAACTGACAACAGCCAAAGCTACAGAAACAATGTTCCAACCAGCATCACGACTATGTAGAATACAGTGTTGACGAGTAAAAATGTAATGCAATGTGACAACCTACTTCTTAAATACCCAGGAACCATTGGATTCATGCAAACATTGCATCTTAAAGACGGCTGCTTTTCTAATCACTGGTCCGTAGTTCACCAGTCATTCAGATGTGCTGTAAACACAGACCGGACTAGGGAACAGGAGCTCCTACTTCCTCTACAGAGTGTCTGCCAAATGCCATAAATATAGCCATAGATGTAAACATAATGCTGCCGCTGTTGGACTTTGAAAGCTCTTTTGCAAATAGAGTAGGTCGGTGTGTGTTGCTCTCAGTGTTAACTCAAGGTCAGCAGACGTATTACCACCCTGACAGCAGCAGCCGACTCGGCCGTGGACCGAGGGCACGGTCCCAGCTGCTGGGCTTCACCGGGGGTCTCTCTCTCTCTCTCTCTCTCCGTTGCTTTATAACTTTATCGATCAGCGGGAGCAGACAGGCCTATTACAGG